CCATGATGTACGAGAATCCGCCACGGTGCGCTTGCGACACGAAGTGGAGCGTCCTTAGATCACCTGCTCAGAGACCTCAGTCCTCATTCCTGAGTATTTCAGGGGCCAGGATCCAGAAAAGTCGACTTTTGGCGCGTGTGCTTTTTCCCAGCAACGCTCCACGAATTGACCTCAAACGAAAAGATCTGGGTTCCCTTCTCCAACGTGGGGGTGCAAACGTCGTGGGGGTGGGGGGGAGGGGGTTACACCGGCGAGAATTATGCCGCAGCGATTTTGCTACGTCGGCGGAGAATACGACACCAAAGGGAAAATTACAATTATGCCACAGTTTAGGGTTGCCGACGTCCCAGCCCAGCATTCTCGGTGGCAGCTGCTCGAACCGATGAAGATGATGACAACCATCAAAATGGTGACGATAGTGATCATGATTATGGCGATAGTGATGGATGTGGATGGCCATGGCTAGGAGAGGAGAAGGGGAAGGAGGAGGAGGAGGAGCCATCGTCATCATAATCATCGTCTACATCATCAGAACCATCATCATTATCATGCTCACCATCATACTCGTCTTCGTCGCCATACTGATGGGTTCGAGTAGCTGCCACTAATGCTGGGCTGGCACGGTGGCAGGACTTGTCATAGGCAGCTGGAGATGCAGTCATAGGCGCCAACGGAAATTAAACCATTCTTTCGCAAGGGCTCGCGATAATTGCCCAGCGCCGGCGACAATTATATCGGTCCCCCAAAATGCGCGCTTTGAAAATCACAACACGCACGTTGAAAGAAGGAGATGAACAGCGGAGCGCCGCTGCGCTAATTGGCCTCGAACCATCGGATTCGGATCGCCTCGATCCCATCAGCCGAGCGGCGCTATGTTGATTGGCCCAGAACTAAAAACAAGTTCCATCGCCTCGCTCCCACTAGCGGAGCGCGTCCCGCGGGCTGAGGCTGTCCAATCCCCTAATCGGCTGGCGACCCCACGGCATCCCAACAAACAATCAAGAGATCTATGACCCTCGAGCTGGCACGGTGGCGGGATGGAGCCAAGGCCAACGAAACAGCAACAAAACATACCATGACATGACATCGTATACAACAATACTACACACGAGGCTAAAACAGACCAGAACAGAACTGACGACGTATGAAACGTGACAGGCGTCACGACGTCACACTGGACCGTCGAGAACAGAACATCACATAATGTCGTATTATATACGAGGGCATAAACGAACATAACATAATACTGATACAATAGCGATGTCAGCATTCCATGACTACACAGCGAACGCTCCACGTTCACTCAATCACATATTCCAAGCGTTACGACGCCACGCTGGCCCCGCAATGCCTGGAACGCATCCAGCAAGGTGTCGGTGGGGATCCCTCGAAGCACTGTAAGTTGCTGCTTTCCGCATCCGGGGGCCCTCGCCGGGCCCCAGGTACATCGAAAAACGACTCTGGATGAAATGCTCGTCCCAGGGGGATTAGAAGAATGAGAAAAAACTGCCATAACAATAAACCTTTGGCGCTGCGCGCGGATTTCTTGGATATGCGTTAGGCCCCCCTCCCTGGCGCGCGGGGGGGCCCAGCGCAGATCCGAGAAATCCGCGCGGAGCGCCAGAAGCTTGCTGATTGCGTTTTCTTTCTTCGAGGAATGGGTCGAGACCTCCGGTGGTGCACGCTGCGAAAAAAAAAAACAATCATGCCGTCAGGGTTCTTTGGGGTCTGCGACCTCCTCCTGAATCTCTGCCCTCCCTTATCCTCCTCCTCCTCCCTTCCTAAATTCCTCCTCTCCCTCCTCCTCCTCCTCCTCCTCCTCCTCCTCCTCCTCCCTAATCTCCTTCTCCTCCTCCTCCTCCTCCTCCTCACCATCATCATTAACCATGGATCTGTGGGGCTATCGCAAGCCACCACGTGGGGGTGAATGCAGATGCTGCCTGACAGCCGCGCAAACACAAACACACGCGATGTTGTATGTCTCGCTCTCTCTCTCTCTCTCTTTCTCTGTTTCTCTCTTTCCCTCTCTGTTTTTTATCGTTGCACCTTTTACTGCATCTACTTTCTTTTCCTCTCGCGCTCTCTCTCTCTCTCTCTCTCTCTCTGTCTCCCCTTCAGAACCTCAGAATATCGCCATACCCAATGTCAAGACCACAGGAACGCAATCAATGATTATCAGCAACGTCTTCGGCACGCTGATACAAAGACGACTAAACATAAGAGAGAGCGCGTTTCACGGGCGCTTGCCTTGGGAACATTCGGCGGCGCGACCAGGGGGTGGCCCTCCCCCCAACACTCGGCGCCGTCGATCAGAACCAGGGGGACTCCTCTCCCCCTAACCCCCCCCCCTCCCGACCCCCCCCCCCCCGGCGCCTGCGCTGGCGGCCGCCGCAGCGCCAACGCAGCGACGATGGCCAGAGATGGCCCAGGAGAGGGGGGAGGGTTCAAACGCCCCTCCCCCGCGCCGGCGCCGGCGCCGGCGCTGGCGGCGCCAGCAGCGCCGACGGCGGGGACGCAGCGACGATGACCAGAGAGGGCCCAGAGGCCGCAGAGGGAACACACACATCACCATATCGAGCCCATAAGAGGCATCCATTAGAACTCTGACCCTTTGCCAAAACACAGTGGCGGGAAGAGCCGAAGGCCACACCACCACCGCCACCGCCACCACAGACCACCATACCACCACCACCACCGCCACCACCACAACCACCACCACCACCACCACCACAACCCACCATCACCACAACCACCACCATCACCACAAACCACCTCACCACCACCACCACCAAAAACGCCACCACCACCAGCACCACCACAACCCTCCACAACCATAACCACCACCACCACAAACCACCACACTACCAAAACCACCACCACCACCAACACCACCACCACCACCACCACCACCACCACCACCACCCACCACCCACCACCACCAGCAGCACCACTACCAGCAGCAGCACCACCACCACCAACACCACACCCCAACACCACCACCACCACGACAAACCACGCCACCACCAGCACCACCGCCACCACCACGACCACCACCATCACCACCTCAACCCGCCACCACCACCAAACCACCACACAACCACCGCCACCACAGCCACCACCACCATCACCACAACAGCTCACCACACTAATTACCACCACCACCTATACAACAACCCACCACCACTACCACCACCATCACCACAATCTACCACACCACCACCACCGCCAAAACCACCACCACTACTACCAGCAACACAACCCACCACCACCACCACCACCACCACCACCACCACCACCACCACCACCACTACCACCGCAAACCACCTCACCATCACCACCACCACCCCAATACCACCACCACCAGCACCCGGCATCGGATCGGATATCGGCGGCGCGAGGATGCACCAGCAGCGCGGTGCAAGCACCGGGCCGAAGCGGATCGCCACAACATCGAAATCCTGTCGACGCGATCGCCTCGAAACTCTCGGCGAACTCCAAATCAAAGCGGATCGACTCGAAAGGGGTCCTGGCTGGTCAAATGTTTCCACACGTGGAACCCCAAGGAGGTCTGGACAACTCCCGCAGGGCTGGTGCTTCATCCCGAATCGTTTCTGTTGACCGTCCTGCGCCTCGGATCTCCAGGCAGGAGAGAGCAGAATCGAATCGCGAAGTCGGATCGGCGATCGGAATGACTCGGATCGGGGGAGCTCGGCAGCCAAGTCGGCAAAAGCCCGATGGGCGACAATCGGCGTGCTGGTAAGACCTCCGTCGAAAACTCGGGAACCCACATCGGGATCCGAGGCCGAATCGAATCGGCATCGGAACGCGTCGAGATCGAACCGAGGCGAACCGGAGGGGTCGAAATGAGCCCTGCCGGGTCGACACCGGTCCGGTATGGCTAGAGGGGCCCCCGGCCCAGGGTGCGCCCCAGGATTGCCATGCAGAGCACCACGGCCTCCAGAGGGCCCCCCACGAGGCCCAGGAAGCCCCCTGGGGCTCCCAAATGGAGCGGAAAGCGGGGGGCACCCTGTAGGAAGGCACCAACTATACACCAACACCGATCCTGGCCCAGGATCGGTGTTGGTGTATAGTTGGTGCCCTCCGACCCTGGGCCAGAGGCACCTGTATGCGGGACGGGAAAATGACCACAGCCACTGCTTCTTGTTTGCGCCGCCTTCCAGCCGGCCGAAAAAGGAGCAGTGGGCGTGGTCACTTCCCTGGTGCCAAGCTCAACTTCAATGACCACAGCCACCGCTCTGTTTCTGCGGGCTGGAAGGCGGCAACAGAAGAGAAGCAGTGGCTGTGGTCGTTTTCACGCCCCGTACGGTAGCAACCCCCGACTCGTCGTGCTCCCATCCCAGACCCTTGACGTCGTGTTCTGCCGCGGCGTCGGCCCCCAGAGGTCTGGACCCCTTCCCCAGGACAGGAGGAGGAGGAGGAGGAGGAGGAGGAGGGGGAGGGGGAGGGGGGGGGGAGGAGGAGGAGGGAGGAGGAGGAGGGGAGGAGGAGGAGGAGGGGAGGAGGAGGAGGAGGAGAGGAGGAGGGAGAGGAGAGGAGGGAGGAGGGAGGAGGAGGGAGGAGGGAGGAGGGTTGTGGGGGAGGGGGAGGGGGAGGAGGAGGAGTTGTTTGACGGCCCCGCGGGGCCCGACAAGGGCCCCCGTGGGCCGAAACAGCGAAAAAACCTCACGTCGTGCTCTGTTTTGTTGTTCCCACAGCGCGAGGGTCTGAGATCGTCCTCTCGTCGTCGTCCAGAGTCGCCATCGACCCGGATCGACCGCCTCGGAGTGGACCCCGCTGTTGCTAGGTCGGGCGGGTCCTCCTACAGGCAGATTCTGAAGGACGAATGGAAGATTGCCCGCGCATAGCCCAAAATGGTGAAGACATGTAGGACAGATCGTCCCCAGAGCCTGTTTCTGCTGTACTCGAACTCTCCTCCCGCAGAGGGACATGCCCGACTTCACGCCGTGGACGACGCGACGGCTCCCCGGGGGGGCGCGCGCCTCCGCCGCCGACGGGGGCCGCCGCCGCCGCGGGCGCCGCCGCGGGCGGCCCCGAGTCGCCGAGCAGGTCCCCGAGGTCCAGGAGGTCACCGCCGCCGCCGCCGCCGCCGCCGCCGCCTGGGCGCGCGGCTCGGGGAGACGCGAGACGCGGGCTCGGAGGGCTGAGCCTCGTTTGACCGATCCCTGCCCCGATCCCTGCCCCCCCGGGTGTGACCTGGGCCACACTGGGCGATGTATCTCCCCAGATGGGGATATAGGCTGTTCCCTTCGAGTTTCGAGGGGGCATATCCCCAACTAGGGTGGTGGGATGGCGGGGATCTGGACAGGGATGGAGAAGGGGATGGGGATCGTTTCAACGATGCTGAGGGACCCGGGCTGGCCTGACGGGGGGCCATCATGAAAATGACGAGGCGAGCTCCACGCTGCAAACATGCCACGAAAATTGGACCGCCAAAATTCAGGACGCGGGCGTCAAAAAGCGTGGGCGAACCCGAGTTCCAGCGTACTCGAGTCTTACGTTTCCCTGGTCCTAGATGGGGTCCGAGCAGATGGGAACGGAGGATCGCGCCGCATCGCCGATGCATGGGTCAAAGCATCGACGATGCATCGGCGATGCATCGCCGATGCGTCGGCGGTGTATCGGCGACGCCGGCGTGGAGAAAATCGGGCTCCGCATCGAGCCGCATCGCCGATGCGTCGCCGATGCGGCGCCATCCTCCGACCCCATTTACTTGGCGGCGCGCACAAGGGGGGAGGGGGAGGGGGAAGGCTTCTTAGAAGAAGGCTGCTTCTTACAAGACGCCGGCCCTACATCGATAGAGAAGGCCCACGCCTTCTGAGAAGCGGGGGTGCTTCTAAGAAGCCTTCCTTCATTCCCTGCCCCCCTCTGCTGAAGGGGCCCCAGGACACACAAAAAATACACACACAAAGAAAATGATTCCCCATATCTTCGCATATTTTTTCTGGATTTTTGTCTTCCCCCCCAGTGCCCATATTTTCCCATATCTTCCTGGGAATCGACGATCACTTGTCTCTGTGTGTTTCTTTCCCTCCTGATCTGCGCATGACCGATCCGCTGCGACCCCGACGAGCAGGCCCAGGAGCGGGCGCAGAAGCGGGAAGGGCCGGGGCGGCCGAGGAGTGGCCAGGAATCCCACTGGCCCTTCAGGGCGTGACGTGGTTCAGCGAGTCTCCTCTTCCAACCCTTTTCTTTCAAGAGACCCAAGGACACACAAATAAGCATACATGTTCTGGGTTTTCTTCTTCCCTCCCTACTTACCATATTTTCCCATCTCTTCCGGGGAATCGAGGATTCATTGTGTCTGTGTATTTTTGTTTCCCCTCCTGACTCTTCCCCTTCGGGTAAGCGCTTATTACTGCTCCCTATCAATATACACCCTCCCCCAGGCGACCGGCAGCCAACTAGGAACAATGCCGACCCCATGCTCACCCCCCCGCACCACGTCTGTCAAAAAGCAACACAAAACACACGCCACCTCCAAATTCGGAGCATGCGCAGCCAACCCGATGCGGGACCCCCAGCGTCCCTGTGAAAAAGCAATGCGAAGCACACTTCGGGGACAAGTCTTGGGCCATGTTCGGGAGCCCCGCGAGCACGTTGATGTTTTTTGACAGCGACGGCGGGGGTGTCAGCATATTGCCTGCTGTGCGCAGGGCCACCATCATGGCCCCCGGGGGCGTCCTAGGAGCCTCTCAGGCCGGAGACCTCGAAATGTCGCGCTCCTCGGGCCCTCTTGGGCCGCTCTTGGGGCTCTCTTGGGGCGCTCTCGAGGCCCTCTTGACTTCTCTGGGGAGCCTCCTGGGCTGTCTCTGGGCTTTCTTGGGAGCCTCTTCGGCCGTTTGGAGCGATCTGAAGGGCCTCTGACGCGGTCCAGGACAGTGGGGAGGCGGAACATGGGAGAGCGCAAGAATGCTTCAAAAACCATTGGAAAATCTATGATTTTCTGCTTCTGGGGCCCTTCGGAGGGGCCTCTGGAGGCGCTCTTGGGGCGCTCTGGCGGCGTCGTCGGCCGTTCTGAGGCCATCTTCGGCGTGTCGGGGGCCTCTGGGGGCTGTCTTTGGGCGTCCTGGGATACCGGAAATCATGTTCCCGGAGATGCTGCCGGAAACATGATCTCGAACGAGGCTCTCTTGGGCCTCCCTGAGGCCGTCTTGGGGGCCTCCTGGACCGGTTTCGGGGCCTCTTGGGCCGTCTTGTGGGGTTCCGTCAGCCCCAGAGGACGACCCTTTTGGGCCGTCTTGGGCCCTCTTGGGTCTCTCTTGGGCTGTCTTGGGGCTCCTCGGGGGCGTCTGGGGCACTGTGAAGACGAAGCAAGCGAGTATGCTGAAAATGCACGTTTGACTAAGGGAACGGGCTGATTTGTGCCTATTGAACGCCCTCTTGGGACCCTCTTCGGCCATCTTCAAGCCATCTCGGGCCCTCTTGGGCCTCGCTGAAGCTGTCTTGTGGGCCCTCTTGGGGGACCTGGGAATCCAGAAATCATGTTCCGGGAGATGCTGCCGGGAACATGATCTCGAACGAGGCCCTCGTGGGCCTCCCTGAGGCCGTCTTGGGGGCCTCCTGGGCTGGCTTCGGGGCCTCTTGGGCCGTCTTGGGGGGGTCCGTGAGCCCCACGGGACGCTCTTTTTGGACCGTCTTGGGCCCTCTTGGGTCTCTCTTGGGCTGCCTTGGGGCTCCTCGGGGGCGTCTGGGGCACTGTGAAGACGAAGCAAGCGAGTATGCTGAAAGAGCAAGTTTTACTAAGGGAACGGGCTGATTTTTGCCTGTTGAACGCCCTCTTGGGGCCCTCTTCGGCCATCTTCAAGCCATCTCAGGCCCTCTTGGGCCTCACTGAGGCTGTCTTGTGGGCCTCTCGGGCGTCCTGGGAACGGGAAAATCATGTTCCCGGAGATGCTTCCGGGCACATGATTTCGAACGAGGCTCTCTTGGGCCTCCCTGAGGCCGACTTGGGGGCCTCCTGGACCGGCTTCGGGGCCTCCTGGGCCGTCTTGGGGGGTTCCGTCAGCACCAGAGGACGACCCTTTTGGGCCGTCTTGGGCCCTCTTGGGTCTCTCTTGGGCTGTCTTGGGGCTCCTCGGGGGCGTCTGGGGCACTGTGAAGACGAAGCAAGCGAGTATGCTGAAAATGCACGTTTGACTAAGGGAACGGGCTGATTTGTGCCTCTTGAGCGCCCTCTTGGGACCCTCTTCGGCCATCTTCAAAACATTTCGGGCCCTCTTGGGTCTTGGGCCTCGCTGAGGCTGTCTTGTGGGCCTCTTGGGCATCCTCGGAACCGGGAAATCATGTTCCCGGAGAGGCTCCCGGGAACATGATTTCGAACGAGGCCCTCTTGGGCCTCCCTTAGGCCGTCTTGGGGGCCTCCTGGGCCGGCTTTTGGGCTTCTTGGGCCGTCTCCGGGCTTCCGTGAGCCCCACAGGACGACCCTTTCGGGCCGTCTGGGGCTCTTGGGCTGTGTTGGGGCTCCGCGGGGGCGTCTGGGGCACTGCGAAGACGAAGCAAGCGAGTATGCTGAACATGTACGTTTTACGAAAGGAGTGGGCTGATGTTTGCCTCTTGCAGGCCTTCTTGGGGCCCTCGTCGGCCATCTTCAAGCCATCTCGGGCCCTCTTGGGGGGCTCTTGGGCGTCTTCGGAGCCTCTTGAGGCTCTCTTGACCATCTGTACGGCCCGCGTGGCCTGTCGTGGGCAATTTGGGAGCGGCCCGGGGCAGTCCCAGGGGGTCTGTGACCCCCCAACGGTTCCGGGGAGCGCCCATGGGGGATGACGGCACCGGCCCGCGCCCCCCCCCGGCCTACTCAGATTTTTTTACTATACATATATATATATATATATATATTATATATATATATATAGCTATATATATATATATATATATACATATATATATATCTATATATATATATTATATATATATTATATATATATATATATATCTATATGCTCGGTCCCCCCCCCAGCGACCCCCCCCCAAACGCGGTCTAGATATGCTGCTGGCACCAGGTGCGCCCGAGAAAGTCCTCCTCATCTTACTCTCCCTCATCCTCCCCCTCCTCTTCCATCTCCCCCCTCGCCTCCTGCTTCTCCTGTTCCTCGTCCTCCTCCTCCCTCCTCCCTCGTCCTCCACCTTCTGTTCCTCCTCCTGGTCCTCTCCCTGTTTTCTTGCTCGGAGGCCACGAAACACTGTGTATCACAGGTTGTTCTGCTTTTTCTGGTCTGGGAACCAACGAAACATTGTGTATCACAGGTTTTTCTGGTTTTTCTGGTTTTCAGGTGCCGACAAACAGGAGGGGGGGTGCGGTGGGGCGAGGCCGCGGCGAGCATTTCAGCTCCAGAAACCTGAAAAACCAGAAAAACCTGTGATACACAATGTTTCGTTGGTTCCCAGACCAGAAAAACAAGAAAAACCTGTGATACACAGTGTTTTCTTGCTCGGAGGCCACGAGACACTGTGTATCACATGTTTTTCTGGTTTTCTGGGTTTCAGGTGCCGACAAACAGGAGGGGGGGGCGGTGGGGCGAGGCCGCGGCGAGCATTTCAGCTCCAGAAACCAGAAAAAACCAAAAAAACCTGTGATACGCAGTGTTTCGTTGGTTCCCAGACCAGAAAAACCAGAAAAACATGTGATACACAGTGTTTCGTGGCCTCGGCCGAAACCGATATGCTTGCGCGCACGGTGCCGCGGTCTTGAGATGCTGGCACCGAACAGCCGCAGACACATGGTCTGTCACAGCGGGCTGTGACCCGAGAAGTATTCCTCCTCATCTTGCTCTCCCTCATCCTCCCCCTCCTCTTCCATCTCCCCCCTCGCCTCCTGCTTCTCCTGTTCCTCGTCCTCCTCCTCCCTCCTCCCTCGTCCTCCACCTTCTGTTCCTCCTCCTGGTCCTCTCCCTGTTTTCTTGCTCGGAGGCCACGAAACACTGTGTATCACAGGTTTGTCTTGTTTTTCTGGTCTGGGAACCAACGAAACATTGTGTATCACAGGTTTTTCTGGTTTTTCTGGTTTTCAGGCGCCGACAAACAGGAGGGGGGGTGCGGTGGGGCGAAGCCGCGGCGAGCATTTCAGCTCCAGAAACCAGAAAAACCAGAAAAACATGTG